TCATAGAAGCATCGGAGGGTGGTGGCAGTCAGCCCAGGCAAACTACAGAGGAAGGGCCACAAAAGGCTGGGGCAGCTCCTCAGCTCTCCTGCCCGCTTCCTGTTGCTGCCACCTCACCAAAGATGCCATTCTCCTGCGAGCAGGGCGGGCGCTGAGAAGCTGCCCAGGCCTGTCATGACCTCAGCCTCCACAGCTCTCCAGGAGGGGGTCTAAAGGGAATGGCTTGCCTGGGCTGTGTCAACGTCCGGTTCACGGGCGATCAAAGTCCCGGCTGGGGACGTCGGGACCGGGGGCAAGATGGCAGGGTGGGAGCAGGAACGGGAGTCCAGAAGCCAGGAGTCAGAAAGCCAAGAGTCCGAGGGTCAGAGAGCCAGGAGTCAAGAAGCCAAGGGTCTGAAAGCAAGGAGTCACGAAGTCAAGGGTCCAAAGATCAAGAAGCAGGGAGTCAAGAAGCCGAGGTTCAAGGATCAGGAAGCAAGAAGCCAAATGCAGCAAGGCAGGAAGCGTGTTGCTGTGGCAGAGCTGAAGGGAAATGCTGACCTTATAACCCTTCCCGGCTCTTGCCACCAGGTGCTATGAGTTACCAATCGGCCTCTCCTGTGCGGCCGCGCCTTGCCTCTTCAGAACAAACTTAGGAAGGCCCCAGTCCTGCAAAGTCCTACTGGTCACAGGGCCTGGCTCCTGCACGCACTCCTGACAGCTGCCATCTCCTCAGGAGAGATGGTCTAAGGGGGCAGAGGGGACATCTCTCCCTCCATGCATTTCCAGACTTTCCTTCCCTCCAAGTAATGCCCAGATGCACCTGATTTGGAGGCAGAAGCCTTGGGATCTATAGCAGCATGACGTTAAAAAAGAATGGGTTAACTGGTAGGGGGCAGACAAAGTGGGAGGGTTGGGGGGGGGCTGGTGACTGAAGGGATTGGGGGGGGTTGGTGAGGGGGTTTTGCGGGGGTGGCAGGTGACATGAGCAGGAGACCAGCCCCTAGTATTCCCTTATCTCCATTGTTCTTGACAGTTTTTCCTTCAATAAAAAGATTTGGATCCCTGTATTATTATTTTTGGGACGCAGGTGGCGCTGTGGGTTAAACCACAGAGCCTAGGACTTGCCGATCAGAAGGTCGGCGGTTTGAATCCCCACGATGGGGTGAGCTCCCATTGTTCAGTCCCAGCTCCTGCCAACCTAGCAGTTCAAAAGCACGTCAAAGTGCAAGTAGATAAATAGGTACCGCTCCGGTGGGAAGGTAAACGGCATTTCCGTGCGCTGCTCTGATTCGCCAGAAGTGGCTTAGTCATCGGAAGCTGTACGCCGGCTCCCTCGGCCAATAAAGCGAGATGAGTGCTGTAACCCCAGAGTTGGTCACGACTGGACCTAATGGTCAGGGGTCCCATTACCTTTATTATTATTTTTACCTCAAGGGGAAACTACTGAGAAAGAGCTGGAATAATACAGTGGTACCTTGCAAGACGAATGCCTCGCAAGACGAAAAACTGGCAAGACGAAAGAGTTTTTGGTTTTTTGAGTTGCTTCGCGAGACGAATTTCCCTATGGGCTTGCTTCGCAAGACGGAAACGTCTTGCAAGTTTGCTTCCTTTTTCTTAAAACTGTTACAGTAATACAGGGTGCATTGCTTGAAGAGGTGCAGTTCCGACTTGACTTTGGGGAGCAACTCATAGCACGCGGTGTGGTAGCCTTTTTTGAGGTTTTTGAAGATTTTTGGGGGGGCATCTCTCCCAATTTACAAATCCACTCTTCCTTTGCTGGTGTGTCCTGAGATTTCCATTTAATGGTTTTGTAAATTAAGTGAGTATATAGAATTGGCAAAATTAACTTCAATTATAAGATATCAATCCAATCAAAAGTTAAGAATGGAGTGGAAGTATTTCAAAGATTATATGTCAAAATGTTGTTCTGAAAATGACATGCAAATAGGCGTAGAATAAAAAAATGTAAGCAATAACAAAACCAATAAAGAAAGAAGGAAAAATCAGAATTTAACAAAAATAATGTATTATAGAATGCAAGGGGGGGAAAGGTAGAAAGAAATATAAAGAAGTCGAATTGCTGTGGAGGGAAGTAGAAGGTGGGTGGTGGGTTTTATAATTAAGTGTATAATTATGCAGCTGTTGTAATTTAGCTATTATATTTTATGTGAGGGAATCATTGGGAATTTTTGTTATTATGTATATATGTTAAGTTTCAATAAAGATCTTTGGAAAAATAAAATAATAAAATAAAATAAAAACCTCCTCTTGGAAAAAAACAGAAAAAACAAAAGGGTATATCTCCCTTGTCCACCAGTCAACCTGAAACCACCAGTAACTTCTGCACGTGGAAAAAATGAGCATTCCTTTGAGGAAAAACAACACCCATGGGATAAACAATTGCACAGCTTACAGCCAAGAGACAGTTCTACCCTAAGGGCAGGCTGCAGAATCCGCTGGGCTTGCCTTTCCCAAAAGCAGTGCAAAGAAGTATTTCCTGATGTATTTACCTGCAAAGGAAAATGCAGTCAGTACTTTGACCTAGCTAATCCTTTCGATTGCTTTAGGCTCCCAGAGTTTTGCAATAAAGGTTTTGAGTTATAGCCAGCCAGTTTTGTCTATAGCTAGAATGACCGAAAACAAGCACATATTGTTGTCCAGCCGTTAAAATTTTGTACTCTTGTCCTGCAGCTAAGTGGTGGTTTTATTTTCATGACACGGTAACCGCCTTGGAATGAAGACAAGACATGATGGGGGTACATATAACTGCACATGCCTATGAACTTTTAACACTCTCAGACCGGCAGATTGCTACAATATCCCTGTGGGCAATGCATCACAATGTAGTTACAGTGAGCTGGGGTATGATCCAACCATTTCCTCATGTTTTTCAGCTTACCACTGTAACAACCGTAGCCTTTTTTGTATTAAATAGGGGCCTGGCAATTTAACTAGGCGAAAGGTACCTCCTTTTCAGTTATCTGATCTGGCCTGCACCGAACTTCTCATCTTAGAGTGGAACAAAGTTAATGAACTGAGCAGAGAGGATTGTATCCAACTAAGTTCTGCTCAGAGTAGAGCCGTTTAAATTAATGGTTTTCAGCAACAACAACAACAAAGTGCTTGTATTAGTGCAACTACAACTGAACAAGTTGCACGTAGCACACAGGTTCATGAACAGTTTTCTGCAGCAGCGATGTAATGCCATGTAACCTGTATGCTTCAGGAAGCGAACAAAATGCTACTCATCTACAGAGAGAAAAGCAAGCAGCAACTTGTGGTGTTAAATACCAGTGTACTGAAAGAAGCAAAGATCATCAGTGTCAAAGCAATGATTCTTCAACATCAGCTTCGTTGGACTTGTCATGTTGTGCGGATGCCTGATTATCATCTTTCAAAGCAACTACTCTATTCCGAACTTAAAAATGGAAAGCGTAATGCCGGTGGTCAACAAAAGAGGTTTAAAGACTCACTCAAGGCAAATCTTGAAAAATGTAGTATAAACACCGACAACTGGGAAACACTGGCCTGCAAGCGCTCCAATTGGAGAACAGCCTTTACCAAAGGTGTCATGGGCTTTGAAGACGCTCGAACTCAGGTTGAAAGAGAGAAATGTGCTAAGAGGAAGCCACGATTGGCAAACCCTCACCTTCATCAACTCCCACCCGGAAACCTATGTCCCCACTGTGGAAGGACGTGTGGATCCAGAATTGGCCTCCACTGTCACTTACAGACTCACTGTTAAAACCGTGTTTGTGGAAGACAATCTTACTCAGCTACGAGTGGTCGAAGAAGAAGGTGATGAAGACTCATCTACAGTGAGAAAAGCCAGCAGCAACTTGTGGTGTTAAATACCAGGGAAGACTCATCATCCTCATTTGGTGTCAAGCAGGGATACAAGCCACATACAGCAATATAGAGAACACTGCACATCCGTTCTGTTTTTTAGAAGGCAAGTTAGCATCTGCATTCCTCCCCAGGATGCATGCACTAATTTATTTCCTACCGCTCGCCCCTTGTAAAACCAGTCTCGCAAGTTTCAAAAACTCTAAAAGCCAGCCTTTTCTTTCGGTGATGCAAAAGGAAGCAATTGCCTCAGGTGATGGGAGCCAGGAGTACTGGGACTGGAAGCAAGAGGCATATCTAGGGCGCCTTCTGCCCTTGCCAAGGAACTGTATCGATGCCCCCCTGGAAAAAAAATCATTTTACCACATGCCTTTGTGCCGCAGTGTGAGAAGCCAAGGAAGCTTCTCCTGTGCTGGATCTGACTGTGACGGCAGCGCCACATATATACCGTATTTTTTGCTCTATAAGACTCAATTTTCCCCTCCTAAAAAGTAAGGGGGGGATGTGTGTGCGTCTTATGGAGTGAACGCAGGCTGCGCAGCTATCCCAGAAGCCAGAACAGCAAGAGGGATTGCTGCTTTCACTGCGCAGCGATTCCTCTTGCTGTTCTGGCTTCTAAGATTCAGAATAATTTTTTTCTTGTTTTCCTCCTCCAAAAACTAGGTGCGTCTTGTGGTCTGGTGCGTCTTATAGAGCGAAAAATACGGTACATCGTACAATCCAGTCTGATATGTGATTTTTGCATGCCCGACCCTCCAGACCAGCGACCCCAGCAGAGGCTGGTTTCACCAACCTTTAGGTACTCCTCTGACAGGAAGCCTACGTCAGACGACGGCTTCCCGTTCTGACTTTTGTGGAAGCCATGAATGTTTCCTGGTTCGAAAGCATCAGGAAGTGTTGTTAACTGGCTTCCTTGTTGTTTCCCCACTCCTACAAAAGGAGAATGGAACGTGGGAAATTGCATCACATGCAGTCACATCATCGGCCTATTTAGCTCAATACTGCCTACACTGGCCGGCAGCAGCTCTCCGGGAATTCAGACGCGGTTTCTTCCAGACTCACCTGAAGATAACGGGGATTGAACCTTGCACCTTCTGCACCCAAAGCTGCTCTCTACCACTGAACCATGGCCCTTTCCCAGATTTAATTTGATTCTGCAAACATAGCCGATAACTTCCGTGTTACAAAAAGGGAATTAGTTTAATCATACAAAAATCCACAGGCACATCATTTTACCGTCTTGCTAAGATTGGAAAACCCGATGCCCACACATGTCATTAAGACCTTGTCTCCACCTTTGCGTTCTTCGCCGGACGGTTTGCTTTCGATTTTGAACATAACCTGGAAGTAACTTCTCAGATGCCGCAGAAACTCAATTCTAAGAAAGGAAGAAAAAGCAAAAGTGAATGTCTTAACCTACGCAAAAGTTAACGTGGGCAACATCTGGATGCCAACAGATACACCTGAAATTTATAACGGGGGGGGGGGGATTACACACGATTTATTTTTAAAAACATCTTTTCCAAGATTCTATATATTGAGCAAACTGGAAGTCTAGTACACACAGAAAAGTACACAACACAATTAGCATTTGATTTAGTTATGCAAACAGATGGCTGGAGCTGACAAACTTATATCATAAGTTGTCCTAATATAACCAGCTAACTTATTAGACCTCACGATAATTTCACAGTTATCATCTATGTATTTCTAATAGCATAACCAAATCAGTAATTTTTGATGTAACTGTAAAAACTACTCTGAAAATTTATTATTCCAAAAATGAAACCTTCATCTGGTTGTAAATATTAACATTATACCAGTAAGAATGAGTCCTTTTGTAAAAAAAATTATTTAAATCAAGTCTTACTGACTAGTGTTTTAAATCGGGATTTAAATCGATTTCATTTAAATCAAACCCACCCTGCTGACACTGGTGGGTTTCTTTTTATTGCTGACTGACACCGGATCCTGACAATTTGCAACTTGGTTTCTCCCGCTGGCTGATCCCTGCTCTACCTCTGCTCCTTATATAGGCTCATTGCCAACATAGGAAAGATCACTTGGTCATCTTTGCTACCAAAGGCATCCCCAGCTGATTGCATACCGCTCCTGAGTGTTATGTCTGAGAGCTTCTCTCTCTGGTCTCCCTCCGCCCCAATCACAAGATCTCCCCTTTGGCTTCCAAGGTCAGAGGCCAAGGTCCAGCAGTAGTTTCCCAGCACAGCACCCATGTCATTGCGATGGCACCATCATTCTTCAGTTATCACAGTACTGTACCTTTCACACATACAGCACCGGTACCATGATAACCGAAAAAGGACAGTTCACAGTCTAGTTGTTCTGTCGGAACCGGGGGATGAAAAGCCAGCTGGCTCAGCCCCAGCTGGGGTGTCTACCCTCTCAGCCTTGCCGTTGCAGAGATCCATCAGTCATCTTCCCCGACATGCGTCTGTGACTCAAGCAGAGCAGGCTTGAGCACACATTACTCAGCAGTGTAAACTGCATAACAGATAATAATAATTTTTATTTATACCCCGCCCTCCCCAGCCAAGGCGGGCTCAGGGCGGCTAACAAGCAATAATAAAAACAAGTTGAATGAATATAACTTAAAAACAAAATTAACATACAACATTAAAATATTGAAACATTAAAATATTAAAATGCAGCCTCATCACAGGAGGAGAAAGGAAAAGAAAAAAGAAAGAGGGGGAGGGAATCAAATTGGCTCCAAGCCAAAGGCCAGGCGGAACAACTCTGTCTTACAGGCCCTGCGGAAAGAAATCAGATCCTGCAGGGCCCTGGTCTCATGAGACAGAGCGTTCCACCAGGCCGGAGCCACTGTTGAAAAGGCCCTAGCTCTGGTTGAAGCTAATCTAACTTCCTTAGGGCCAGGGACCACTAGGGTGTTGCTATTTATGGACCTTGAGGCTCTCCGTGGGGCATACGGAGAGATGAGGCTTGAGGCGTGGACTCAATACTTAACTACACATTTATTATACATAAATCAGGACAAAGAAAACATGGCTTCTCTCCTTGCCGCCTTCTCGGAGAGACTGAAAACAAAAGCAATACAGAGCGGAAGTTCCCCTCATGCCAGCAATCTGTGCTGGAATGTAAACAGGCATGTGACGTGTAACAATCCACATATCTGCAGCAAAGGGTGGAATGGAATTCCTAACACTAACAGAATTCCAAAATAGATGCAGAAGCCGGCATGCAAGGCGAAGAAACCACAGCAAGCTCTCCGCTGGAAATGGTCAATTGCAAAGAAAGCAGGAGCTGCATCTCCCAATATTGACATCTCCTTCCACCAGTATCAAAACGGGTCTTTTCCTTTGCACAGACAGCTTTACGCCAAATGCTGAAACACTCGCATTCCTCCTCCCAAACACAAAAGGGGATGCCTGGCAGTTTCTTTTCAATCTTCGCAAATCGAGTCAGAGAAGATGATTAAACGGTCCAAAATATTAGCCCTTCTATGCCACAGCTACTGGTATAAAGGGTCTCAGCCCTGTATACCTGAAGGAGCATCTCCTCCTGCATTGTCCAGCCTGGACACTGAAATCCAGCTCCGATGGCTTTCTGGAGGTGCCCTCATTGCAAGAAGTGAGGTTACAGGAAACCAGGCAGAGGGCCTTCTCAGTAGTGGCGCCCACCCTGTGGAACACTCTCCTATCAGATGTCAAGGAAATAAACAACTATCCAACTTCTGGGTCACATCTGAGGGCAGCCATGTATAGGGAAGTTTTTAATGTTTGGCGTTTTATTGCGGTTTTTATAAATTGTGGGAAGCCACCCAGAGTGGCTGGGGTAACCCAGTCAGATGGGCGGCATATAAAATCATCAACATCACCATCACCACCATGGCCCAGAGGTTACGTCAGAAAACAAGCACCCAGCTTGTGTGCCCATTACTTGCCGCAGCATGTTTCAGAGCTCTGGAAACGTGGAGGATTGATGAGCAAGTCATCTGTTGGCTTTCCTAAAATCAGACAACAGGTAATATACTGCAAAGGTAAAGGTAAAGGACCGCTAGTAAAGGGACGCGGGTGGCGCTGTGGTCTAAACCACTGAGCCTCTTGGGCTTGCCGATCGGAAGGTTGGCGGTTCGAATCCCCGTGACGGGTGAGCTCCCGTTGCTTAGTCCCAGTTCCTGCCCACCTAGCAGTTCGAAAGCACGCCAGTGCAAGTAGATAAATAGGTTCCACTGCGACAGGAAGGCAAACAGCGTTTCCGTGTGCTCTGGCTTCCATCACAGTGTCCCGTTGCTCCAGAAGCAGTTTAGTCCTGCTGGCCACATGACCCAGAAAGCTGCCTGTGGACAAACGCCAGCTCCCTCAGCCTGAAAGCGAGATGAGTGCCACAACCCCATAGTCGCCTTTGACTGGACTCAACCGTCCAGGGGTCCTTTACTTTTTATCTTTTTACCTAATACACTGCACTGAGGGCTTTGAAGAAGTTCCTTTCGCAGCTACAAATTAAGCATTCACAGTAGTAACAAAATCTGTTATTCTATGCTATTAGCAAATTGAACAGAGATGGGTAATTCCTTCTCAGGGGGTGGGGGAAATAGAAAGGACTTACGTGTATGGGGACAGAGGTCCTAGCAGGACTTTGGAGACGTCCTGCGGCCCAAGGGTCATGAGGAGAAGAATGAGGCTTTGGTTTGTTGAATCCACACAGCCTCCCTGCAAACGCAAACCATTTAATAATTAAGCTTTGCACTTAACCGGAAAATATGGGCGAAAAGGGGAAGAGGGAGGGAAAACCACAGAACAGTTACAAACTGCATTTCAAGGGTCAAAAAGATAACACGCGTTCAACGAACCCAACGGCAAAAAAGGTGCTTGAAATCGGTATTGGGACCAATTTGTGTGTAAAAGCAGAGGAATTTGTAGGGCCAAAGAAATCAACTGCCCAATCCCACGTATGCCTACCCCACCACATTCTAACAGATTTACCCTCCGGGAAGTGTGCACCCGGCAGCCCAAGTCAACCAAGACAGGGGGTTCAAGTGGAAATAGCTCCATCATATGCTGAGATAGAGAGATTCCTTTCTGCAAGACCAACCCGCCAGCCCAATCTGTGGCATGCGTTTTCTTTCTTTTGTTTTTATTTTTTTTTTAATTTTCAATGCAAAATTACAACAAAAATTACAAACAATGAATCCAAAATAAAACAGTACAAACAAGGGGGGGGGGGGGGAGGACACAAGAGAAAAAAGAACAACAAAACAAAAAACACACATCTACAAATAAAACCATATCATCATTCTAATCGTTACGTCCATATACACATATTGACTTCCTTCCTTTGTTCTAAGACCTCAAAATTTTTACTCTTTCTAAATTGTTGTGTCTAATGTAGATTACCTCTATCTTTATTCTTTTTGCACCATTTTTCTCTTTCTTTAACCCTGCAAAGCTTCATCTGTTACATACCGATATGCTTACTCCAGAACAATGTTTTCTCATATACTCTTTAGCACATTGCCATTCTTTTAATTTTTGGTCCGATTGTCCCCTTATGAATGCTGGTGAGTCTTGCCAGATGTATATATCCACAAAATTTAATTTGTCATTCTTTCATTGATGGAATTTTTCTCCCTTTCCAATTTTTTGCTATGAGCATCCTGGCAGCTGTTGTCGCCTAGAGGAATACTTTCCTTTGATTCTCAGGAATATCGTTTGTGATTATACCTAAAAGGAATGCCTCCGGTTTTTTACTAAAAGATATTTTAAACATCTTTTTGATTTCTTCATATATTTCACTCCAAAATTGTTTAATAGGTTGGCATTCCCACCTCTGTGGCATGCATTTTCTTGATCTCAGATGCACTCAGGAAGAGCATAGAAAGAAACATGACCCTGGCTTTCCAACTCCATCCTGAGCCTTACAGCCCATTAGGCAACCATGAATAAGGCCCATCTCTTTCTCCGGCTCTCATTAGGAAGTAAAATAGTCATTGGCATATCCAATGACACGAGCTGACCACTAACAGATCAGGAACCCATTTAGCGCAGGGTGCATCAGCAGCAAGAACAAAATGATTCTGTGGCCTACAACCTTCCTAATCAAAGGGGCGAAGTCTTTCGAAACCAGAGAAGGGCTCTAATTACCTCTTAAAGAAGAGTCCTATTTCTGACCAAGATCATTTGTTGCATTAAGGAGAAATACATTACACACAGCGCAGGTTTTCTTTCGCCATCTAGAGAAGGAATACAACCTGGGCAGCATGGAGAGAAAGAGTCTCCCTAATGCAAAGATGTAAAATGAAGTTATGAGACACCACCACAATTCTTCAGGGAGCGAAAACGAAACAGCTACTTACTCTGTGAATCTCTTCGAGTAGCAGCTTTGCACAGTTTATGGCCAGGTCTTCCGGGAGCACAGCTGCGCCCTGTCCCTGGGGGCTGGAGGCCAACTCAGCACTGAGGAAAGTACCATTTGTCGTCTCTGCCACCAGAGTGAGGCCGAAACCTGGGGACCTGAAAGAAGAAAGCACACAGGACACAGGGGTGGAATGAAAGGAATTGTTTCATTTTAAAATCCTGTGATGAAGGTGCCTGCTTGTTGCTTAAAGAAAAACAAAGCCTAAACTTACATGTAAAAAATTAACGTTCTGGTATAAAATAGTCAGCAGTGGCCATGCCAAGGTTTTCCGAAGAGCTCTTCCCTAATGCTGGCCACTGGATCCTTTCAACTAGAAACCCCGGGATCTTCAGCATTCAAAACACTTACTAAGCCACTGAGTTACTATGCCCATCAGTGGGTACATGAGAAAACACATTGCACAAAGTTAAGACTGTTTGCTCCATCAAGTTCAGTACAGTCTGCACAGAGAAGCCAGAGTGGGACCGAGTTTGGTCCTAGATCGTAGCTCCAGCTTCAGGAGAAGAAAGCCCACTTGGAGGATGCTGTGAGACAGCAAAGGTCTTTCCGCTTGGTTTGATATCAGGGCAATACAGGACCTGAAGGGCAAGTAATTGCAGTCCTATAAAGTAAGAGGCAGTGAGAGATTTTACTTTCTTGGGCTCCATGAACATTGCAGATGGTGACAGCAGCCACGAAATTAAAAGACGCCTGCTTCTTGGGAGAAAAGCAACGAGAAACCTAGACAGCATCCTAAAAAGCAGAGACATCACCTGGCCAAAAAAGGTCCGTATAGTTAAAGCCATGGTTTTCCCAGTAGTGATGTATGGAAGTGAGAGCTGGACCATAAAGAAGGCTGATCGTCGAAGAATTGATGCTTTTGAATTATGGTGCTGGAGGAGACTCTTGAGAGTCCCACGGACTGCAAGAAGATCAAACTTATCCACTCTTAAGGAAATGAGCCCCGAGTGCTCACTGGAAGGACAGATCCTGAAGCTGAGGCTCCAATACTTTGGCCACCTCATGAGAAGAGAAGACTCCCTGGAAAAGACCCTGATGTTGGGAAAGATGGAGGGCACAAGGAGAAGGGGACGACAGAGGACAAGATGGTTGGACAGTGTTCTCGAAGCTACCAGCATGAGTTTGACCAAACTGCGGGAGGCAGTGGAAGACAGGAGTGCCTGGCGTGCTCTGGTCCATGGGGTCACGAAGAGTCAGACACAACTAAACAACTAAACAACAACAACAAAAATAAGAAGCGCACTTGGGATGGAGGTGTAAAAAGGAGACTGACAGCTTGGGCCAATAAAGGTCAATAACAACAGGAGACAGGCAGAGCTGAACAAGCTGCCCTTAAGAAATTTCCAAGTCCATTGGATGGCAAACTCTCTCTTGAACAACCTGCTGCTAAAGTATGGGTGGAAATGTAAGAATCCTCTTCCCAAGAGTTGTAGAGTTTGGGAGGAGGGTGGGCAGAGTTCAGGAGGGGTTTCCTTCCTTACAAAAGCTGGTTGTGAGCAGAAGGCACAGAAGGTCAGGTGGATCAGGTGAAGCTCAATGAAATAATAATAATAATAATAATAATAATAATAATAATAATAATAATAAATTTTATTTATATCCCGCCCTCCCCAGCCAAAGCCAGGCTCAGGGCGGCTAACAACAATCAAATAATCAAACAATCAAATAATCCAACATTCTAAAACATTTCATTATAAAAATTAATTAAAATCAAATTAATGGCAACCGTTAAGCAAAGTTCTGTGCAGGTTGCCAGAGGAGGGAGTCAGGCTGGGCCCTGACCAAAGGCCTGGTGGAACAACTCTGTCTTGCAGGCCTTGCGGAAAGATGTCAGGTCCCGCAGGGCCCTAGTCTCTTGTGACAGAGCATTCCACCAGATTGGAGCCACAGCCGAGAAAGCCCTGGCTCTAGTTGAGGCCAGCCTAACCTCTCTGAGGCCTGGGACCTTCAGGATGTTTTTATTTGCAGACCGTAGGTTCCTCTGTGGGGCATACCAGGAGAGGCGGTCCCGTAGGTACGAGGGTCCTAGGCCGAAACACTCATGCATTGTCAGAGTGGAAGCCAGGAGGGTCCATGGCTGCAATCCCATTTCAGCCACAAACTCAGCAGTTCAGCCCATGACAAGCCACTGTTCCCCGAACTTCACTAATTCCTCACCTGCCATACAGATAGAATGATATCTCGCGGAACTGTTGCAAAGATTACTGAGAGGCTTTGAAAACTGCAAATTGAGCTGTATCAATGCTACAAAATTGTTATTACCAGATTGCCTTCTGCCCCCACCTCCACCCCTCCTCCTTCAAGTAAGCATTATATTAGTAAACCACAAATAAATGGCCTATTAAAGAATAATGGGTGGAGGCATATATAAAATATTATTATTATTAGGAAAACTTACTTCCCAGAGCTTGTCCCTTTCATATGGTCGGTGTAGATGTAAATATCCGGTAGGAATTTATTCAGGATGCTCCTTGCAGAATCCACAATTCGGTTCGCAATCTGCGGGGACACTCTGACCGAATAGCTGATTTATGAAATTAAGGAATTTCTTATAGAAAAAGCCGTTAACACAAAAGCAGGCCGGTATACAGAAGAGGACTTCCTTATTTTATTTATATTTATTTACATTTTATACATCCTTTTTATTTTTAACAAATAATCATAAATAAATAAGAATAAAAACGTGCGCCCCACCACCAAGACCATTCCATTATAACTATCCAACCTCCCAAAATTTCAACACCTCTTGCGATGGTCTGACTCCTTTCTGTTTTAACAGTACAAATTCTACAAGCATATCTCCTCTGAAATCATTTCTCCTGCGTATTCCCCATCTAACCTTAATGGCACATGTTAATTTATCATTAACAGCAATATCCCACACCTCTTTATACCATTCTTCCATTCTATATTCTGCTTGCCTCTTCCACTTCCTAGCTATAATAATGCATGCAGCTATCAATAAATTTGTGACCAAGTCCTTCATAGCCAGAAGAGGACTTCCAACACATTTCCTGCTTGTGCATTTTGCTTTTTTGTTTTTTAAATAATTTTTATTAGTTTTCCATTTAAACAATATACTCACATCATTATTATCCACTTTACTTCTTTGGCTCTTTAGAGCCTATCGACTTCCTTCCCTCCCACCTCTTGGCTTTCAAAAGTAACCTTGATATCACAACATTTTACAGTGGTACCTCGGGTTAAGTACTTAATTTGTTCCGGAGGTCTGTTCTTAACCTGAAACTGTTCTTAACGTGAAGCACCACTTTAGCTAATGGGGCATCTAGCTGCTGCTGTGCCGCCGGAGCACGATTTCTGTTCTCATCCTGAAGCAAAGTTCTTAACCTGAGGTACTATTTCTGGGTTAGCGGAGTCTGTAACCTGAAGCGTATGTAACCCGAGGTACCACTGTATATATTTTCCAATTCTAATACAACCCACTACAAAATACCTCAAAATTTAAATAAATTTAGAAAGGTAAAAATATTCTCATTACAAGCCTTCAGATAACCCTACTAGTGTTATTAATTGCTTGAAATGGTCTTTCAAATATTGTATAAATTTACTCCAGTCCTTTTGGAATACTTGATCGTGCTGGTTTCGGATTTTTCCCGTCAGCTTCGCCAGTTCTGCAAAGTCCATCATTTTCATCTGCCACTCTACTTGTGAGTTTGGATGGTTTGCAAGTGTTACTTAACTTTCCATAGTCAAAAGCAGGGGTCAGCGAACTTTTCCAGCATGGGGCTGGTCCACTGTCCCTCAGACCTTGTGGGGGGCCGGACCATATTTTGAAAAAAAATATATGAACAAATCCCTATGTCCCACAAATAACCCAGAGATGCATTTTAAATAAAATGACACATTCTACTCATGTGAAAACACACTGATTCCCGGACAGTCCGCAGGCCAGATTCAGAAGGCGATTGGGCTGGATCCGGCCCCTGGGCCTTAGCTTGCGTACCCATGGTCAAAAGGGTCTGCTGAATGTATCTTTCGCAGCATCATGTGATTGCAGGAAGATGCAACACCTTTTTTTACTGAGTCCCTCTCCAACCCACCCACCCACCTGCTTGAAAGGGCTAAGCACACCACAGGGCTAGTCAACAGCGCAACAACCAATTCAACATGGAAAAAGGAGTGACAACTTCCTTCAGCAAGGAAGAATGGTATAATCTTTATCTTTCTGAGCATGTACCTTAAACATAAGTCGGGGGTTGGGGGCTTGTGTATGTAGCCATCCCCACCCCGAATTCAGAGTTTTAGAAGATCCTACACGTGAAAGGATTAGGAGATTGTCAAGAGTAAAAGATGAGACGAACCACTGGGTGGGTTCTTCTGCACTTCCTGGTTTTACTGCTTGACCAGTACGGCAGACAGTTTAACCCACGTGTCAATTGAGCAGAAACACCAGCAAAGAGTGACAGGTTCCCGTGGACTTTTAGCTTTCACTTTAAATAGAGCGAGGAAGGAAAGCTGCTAGGAAACAGGTTTTGCAACAAAAGCGGAGGCTGAGAAAGAGCTGGGGGGGTGTGTGTTCCCATTTATGCACAGAACTCAAAGAGGATTTACTAAGCAGACGTGGTTAGGATGGCACCGTACGCCACAGTTCACCTTATCACCCGAGGGCAGTTACGAATCAGCAAACAAAGCGGATTCTTATTTTCCCTTTTAGATCACAAAATGTTTAAAACAGATATGCCTGAACAGGTGGAGCCACTAAATGCAGCGTTTGGGCTAGCAATTTTTGAGCCTTTATTTCCAAACTGTGCATGCATCCGAACAGCATATACGTACGCACTAATTTGCAGTGGAATGCTCTCCCCAGGGAGATTTGCCTGGGGCCTTCATTATACACCTTTAGGTGCCAGGCAAAACGTTCCTTTTTAACCAGGCCTTTGGCTAATCTGATTGACATCCTATACCCTTTTAAAATATGTGGGGTGTTGGGTTACTGGGTTGTTTTTGTTTTTATTTCCATTATGTATTTTGTGGTTTTATATTCTGATTTTATTCTGTCAACTGCCCTGAGACCTCCGGGTATAGGGCAGTGTATAAATTCAATAAATAAAATAAAATAAAGCAAAACTCTGTGCCCCGTGGCTAAGGGGTTCAGACTGCTCTAGGTAAAGGTAAAAGGTAAAGGACCCCTGGACAGTTAAGTCCAATCAAAGGCTGGGACAGAGCAACAGGAGCTCACCCCATTGCACGGATTCGAACCGCTGACCTTCTGATCGGCAAGTGCAAGAGGCTCAGGAGTTTGGACCACAGCGTCACCCACGTCTACCATGGCTCCGCCATCCGCATCCTGGCACTGCGCGTCAGTTGTGCATACGACACTATGCCTTACTACCCACACAATCTAATACACATCTATTTGCAAGGGAACCACACTGAGTCAATGGGGCTAACTCAGGTCTGTGGATATTCGGATTGCAGCCTAACTCTTTCCCTTACAGTGTAAGGCAAGCAAAGAAATCAGTTTGGAAACTTTTCAAGAAGGATACGCCACACCTCTGATGCGCTTAATTTTGCCAGGATCAACGTACTGAATGGGCATCAATGCTTTCTTAACAGGACAACTGAATATCACTTCGCCCCCTCCTTTGGGGGGCATGCCCCTCCTCACGATCTGAAAACAAGAAACGAGAATTTTAAGCAGTAAGGTTTTTAAGTGCTCCGGCTTTTTCATCCAACAACATTTGAAGACAAATTCTAGCAAGGCAATGCAGCTGCCACAATGTATAGGAAAGCTCATTCAAATCAGGGAGAAAGGTTAGCACACTCGATATGGATAAGAATTCCTAGAAATAGTAATTTGAGGTCTTACCTTCAATTCCAATTCTTCACCGTCGATTCCAAATCTTTTCAATAAAGGCAGAGCTGTCGCCTTAAGGCAATCCACCTGAAAGATATTCAGTGAGAAAGCCTCTTGACTAGAAGACAACACAAACAATCTTTGCGCCCCAACCAATTAAAAGTTCGTTCTGAGAAGGAGATTTTAATTCACAATGGGTTGGGGGGGGTGGATGTGTGATTAGATTTGCCAAAAGCAACATAGCACCAGAAATTGGTTCGATTACATGTACTTTGGATTCATAATTAACAATTCCTTTTTCAGTTTCGCCATTAACCCGTTTCAGTTAGAACAGCCTTGAGCTGTGGCTACAGGGCAGCCACAGAACATGGTCTCTTATCCCCGCAGCACTCCCAGTGACAGACTCTTTCCCTTTCTCCGTGTTAAATGACATGGACACAGTAAAAGGATTTGCCATTATAGACCCAACAAGAGCGGAAGTGTGGGTGTGTGGGCACGAACCCCCCCCCAATCCTCAGGGACCAAATTAAGGGGCCTATGTGGCCACAAATCAATGACTTACCAAGCTCTCTTCCCCCAGACTCCTCCTTGCTCTTGTTGCAGCCACCCTCCACTCTTCCCACCATCTCGCTCCTAATAATTTTATTATTTATTCCCCACTCATCTGGCTGGGTTTCCCCAGCCACTCTGGACGGCTCCCAGCAGAATAGTAAAAACACAGTAAAACACCAGACATTAAAAACTTCTCTAAAAAGGGCTGCCTTCAGATGTCTTCTAAAAATAAGATAGCTGCTTATTTCCTTGACATCTGATGGAAGGGCGTTCCACAGGGCAGGCGCCACCACCGAGAAGGCCCTCTGCCTGGTTCCCTGTAACTTGGCTTCTCGCAGCGAGGGAACCGCTAGAAGGCCCTCGTTGCTGGACCTCAGTGTCCGGGCTGAATGATGGGGATGGAGACGTTCCTTCAGGTCTACAGGGCCGAGACCATTTAGGGCTTTCAAGGGCAGCACCGACACTTTGAACTTGGAAACATATAAACACCATTGACATTTGGGACGGTTCACAACTTACCGTAGGATCCACTTGATCATTGGTGGCACCACGGAGAACAATCCTTAGAGGGTGCTTCATGAACGGCGCTAAGCACAGCAGGCTTTCCAAATAATACCCAATGCTGCGGTTGGGGCTGCAGTCGTGTTCCAGTGAACCCCCGTAGAGCAGGCCAGGCTGATAGTATAAAGTGGTACCTTTCAAAGAGCACGGAAAACATTCTCCGCATTAGTTGTCCATGACTATAACAAGGTTGACATAAGCCAGAAGTTGGGCTTGCCCAACCCTGGAGGTCCATGATATAGAAGTGATTATTACATACACCTGCTGAAGGAGATGCCTGGTGACCCTTTTAAACCCACTGAAATGGGACGCGGGTGGCGCTGTGGGTTAAACCACAGAGCCTAGAACTTGCCGATCAGAAGGTTGGCAGTTCAAATCCCCGCGACAGGGTGAGCCCCCGTTGCTCGGTCCCTGCTCCTGCCCACCTAGCAGTTCGAAAGCACGTGAAAGTGCAAGTAGATAAATAGGTGCCGCTCCAGCAGTAAGGTAAACAGCGTTTCTGTGCGCTGCTCTGGTTCGCCAGAAGCTGCTTAGTCATGTTGGCCACATGACCCAGAAGCTGTACGCCGGCTCCCTCGGCCAATAAAGCAAGATGAGTGCCGCAACCCCAGAGTTGGCCACGACTGGACCTAATGGTCAGGGGTCCCTTTACTTTTACCAGCCATTGAAACAATTGCAGGAACTTTCCCGGCTTCCTGCCTCCCCTCCCCTTTGAGTATCCCATTTCAAATTTAAGACAGTTAACTTCCGGGAGAAGGGCTATGCTCTCTTGCACTCCGTAAAGTGCTATACATTACACTGTGATGGTGCCAAGTAGATAATAGATACATAAATACCTGTTTGGTTTATTTCAATCCTAGAGCCATTGGTTATTTTGTCAATCAGCCGGATAAAGTTTGCTTCAAAATCTGTCAGAGAAACAGAGATGCTTAGCATTCAGTCACTATTCCGAGAACCTTAATGAAATCCCAACAACATGCAATGTGCTACAATCAAAACATTTTCCCCATTTAAACTCTTTAAACAGTTTGCCAACCGTGCCGTTAAAAGTAGATGGGAGAGAGCAAAATGTGTCCCAATTTGGTAGCCGAGGGAACCGTAAGAATTTTGTCCGACTGAACGCAAGGCTGCGATCCTGCACAAACTCTTGAATGCCAGCCCAGTTTACACACAGCAAGGCTTTCTTCCAGGTAAACATGTGCTGGCCTGATCTGCAAGCCCCTTTTTCAGTGTTATGGGAGCAGTGCAGAGTTAGAAACTCAGATATATAAGCTGGGAGACTCCCAAAGAGCAAGGTAAAGTCATGCTGGAATCAGTAGCAGATCATTTCGCTCCTTCTAAACCCTGCAATGTTCTCAACAATAAGCTCTAGGGGGGAAACCAACTCAATGCAACTTGTATGGGAATTCAGAATTCCAACCCATCCACTCATCCTGTCCCCCACTGCTTCCCTACATATTGGCTACTGCGATTGGACATGGTCCATATTTGAGGAAAATCTTTTATATTATGAGAGGGAGGGTGTGTAAACAGTGGCAATAGAGTGGTACCTCAGGTTACATACGCTTCAGGTTACAGACTCCGCTAACCCAGAAATATTACCTCGGATTAAGTATTTTGCTTCAGGATGAGAACAGAAATCGTGCTCCGGCGGCGCGGCAGCAGAAGGAGGCCCCATTAGCTAAAGTGGTGCTTCAGGTTAAGAACAGTTTCAGGTTCAGTACGGACCTCCGGAACGAATTAAGTACTTAACCTGAGGTAACACTGTACTATAACCCTTAAACGAACCTAAAAAGCAAGCTATACAGAGGGACTCTAATGGATCCAGTTCTGGTAATCTAAAAACACAGCCCCCTGGGCACAGCCTCAAATCTGATAATACAAAAATGGTGTTCCCCACACCCTTAACCAGGCATAGGCAAACTCGGCCCTCCAGATGTTTTCAGACTACAGTTCCTATCATACCTGACCACTGGTCCTGTTAGCTAGGGATGATGGGAGTTGTAGTCCCAAAACATCTGGAGGGCCAAGTTTGCCTATGCCTGCCCTTAACCATTCACAGAATTGGAAAGGACTGTGGGAGTCAGCTGGTCCTGTGTCCCAGTTTTATGCCTATTTCCAAAACTAGCCCTCATTTCCAGCAACACTAATATAAATTTATCACTGATTGACAGAAGACATTTCAGGACAGATAAATGGAAGCATTTCTTCCCTGAGTGTGGAACTCACCGCTACAAGATGTGGGTAGTAATGGCCACGAACTGAAGATGGCTTTAAAGGGGGATTTGACCTGGGATAGCTCTGTCAGTAGAGCATGAGACTCTTAACCTCAGGGTAAAGGGTTCAAGCCCCATGTTGGGGAAAAGACTCCTGCCCTGCAGGGGGTTGGGCTAGATGGCCTTTGTGGTCCCTTCCAACTCTACAATTCTATGATACTATGACACATTCATAAGGCTATCACCGGATACTAGCTGTGCTGCCTGCATGTAACTTTTGGGTTTAGAAGCCAGTATACCACTGAATATCATCAACTGCTGGAGGGCAATAGCAAGAGAAGGCTTTTGCTATTTGATTGTTTTGAAGTTTTATTACAATCAAATGGTATAAAAACCTTGGGGAAATAAATAAAACTGCCTTCATGACCTGCTTGTGGACCAGAAGCTGGGCTAAATGAGCTTTTGGTCAAATCTAGCGGGACTTCCACAATCTTACACTTATATCCCTACCCCATTCATCCCAAACATTCAGACTGGTACAGATGAGATCAACCCATCTTACCTTCAAACCAAACAAGTTTACAGGTAATTCCAACTAGCCAAAGGCCAACCATTGAGTCTGATGGGTGAGGGAGAATCTGACGCCAAGCCCACCCAAAGCAGTCTGTCCTCGATGCACCACACCAGCTCCGAAAAAAGAGGAAACCAGGGCTGCATTCCTAACCCCACTGAATTCAACAGAACTTACTTCTGATTAGAAATTGTTAGGCTTGTGCTCAGGTCCTCTCTGAATAACGGGGAGATACATAGCATGCATAGCTTCTTCCTATTCTAGAGCTAAAATGCCTGGAGTTATACTTTCATACATCTCTGCTCTGATAAGCTCCAGAGGCTAACCTGTGTTTCCCAGATCATGACAAAGCATTCTGCATCAGTAAACAGAATTTCACTTCAGGCAGCGACAAACTGGTTGTCCTAGCAGCTGATAACTCTGCACAGAGGAAGCAGCATACAAGAAAGACTCAAGGATGCCTCCAAGCAGGCTGGCACTTGCCTCCAAGCAGGCTGGCACATCCGCCTCCTACAACCCCAAGACCAGCTACCCTTCTTGCCTAAGTGAAAGCGGGCAACAGCACAGCTGCTCCCTTGCAGCGCCCAGCCGAATGCTAACAAGAAGAACCTGTGGCCTCACAGAAGAGGTTGGATGGCCATCTGCCAGGGATGCTTTAGCTGAGACTCCCGCATTTCAGGGGGTTGGACTAGGTGACCCTCAGGGTCCCTTCCAATTCTAGGCTTTGCTGCCACTGCTTCCTCCTCCACGGGAACCCAACCGTCCTGCCCGACAGTGCTAAGGTTACGCAGGTCTGATCCCCGTAATGAGCAGCTGCTATTTTCCTGCACTGCAGGGGGTCGGACTAAATGACCCTTGAGGTCCCTTCCAACTCTACAATTCCATGATGGTAAGAGACTGCCCCCTTTGGCTGGAACACGGTGCTGACAATGCCAAGGTTGTGCAGGTCGGATTGAGGTTTGATGAGGCCCTAAGCTACTGAAGGTAATGGGGCCCTTTATATGTCCAGCTGTCCTTTGTCAACAAGAAACTGTCACTGGTTTTTTGTGTTTAATATATGCTATATGGTAATTTATGGACCTCATAGGTATCTAAAGCCATTTGCACGTAACAAAATATGTACTTTATCAAAGTAATTGTTGAACTGAAATATAATCAAGAAAAAGTATACTAATAGTGAAAGACAAAATATAGAAATGAGCAAACCAGTGATATTTTAGGAAGCAGGCTAGCAGGCGGGGCCCATGACTTACACTATAGGAGCCTACGCAACACAAAACACTGTTGCTGTATGTAGGTTTTTTATTTTATTTGCTTTTTATCGTATATTTCGGAAATGCACAGTCAGGTTTCTTTTTTCCTTTACATTTTGGGGGGACGCCAAGAGAGTGGGGCCCCAAGCTATAGCTTGCTTAGCTTATACAGTGGTACCTCGGGTTAAGAACTTAATTCGTTCCGGAGGTCCGTTCTTAACCTGAAACTGTTCTTGACCTGAGGTACCACTTTAGCTAATGGGGCCTCATCCTGAAGCAAAGTTCTTAACCCGAAGTACTATTTCTGGGTTAGCGGAGTCTGTAACCTGAAGCGTCTGTAACCCGAGGTACCACTGTACATAAATCCGGCACTGGATCCCCGTCAGGGGCAGCTGCAAATTCCTGCACTGCAAGGGGGTGGACTGGATGACCCTCAGGGTCCCTTCCAACTCTAGGTTTTGCTGCTGCTGCTGCTGCTGCTGCTGCTGCTTTCTCCTCCACCCAACGCGCCTGCCCTCCTCCTCCTCCCCATGCAGCCCCTCTCCTCGCCCACCTCCCTCCTCGCTCGCCCAGGGCAGATGCACCTCGGAGTCCGGGGTTCTCCTCCTTGGCCCGGATCTTGCGGATCTTGACCGGGCGGCCGCTGAGCGTGGAGAGCACCAGCCTCTGCCGCAAGAAGTTGCACCCGACGTAGCTGAGCGAGGCCGAGGCGCTCGCCATGTCGCCGGTTCCTCCGCACTGCCTCCGGGGAGAGCGAGCGGCGACGGCGGCGGCGGCAGGGGACGCGTCCGGCGGAGGAGCTCGAGAGACGGACAGGCAGGCAGGCAGGCGGCAAGCGCCGGGTTGTTATGGTCGCAGGGAGCTCCGCATCGCCCACGTGGTTTGGAGCAGGAAGAGAGAGCGCCGAGACGTCGCGGGGTCAAAGGGGAAGGGGCGGGGTTCCAGGGCCCGGGCGGCCAGTGGGAGGCGAGGCTACTGGGGAAGCAGGAGGCGGGGCGAGGGAAAAAGGCGCCCCGTGCCAGGAAAAGGGCGGAAGTGTTAGCAAAGCATGGCAAAGCGGGGACTACCAGCAAGGGGTGCCATAGGCAGCGCCTGTGACTAGGATCTCAGGGTTCTCGATGGACCCCGAGCTGGACAGGAGTCCGCAGCAGAAAAGGCCGACGTAGTGATGAAATGCTTCGAAAGGCTGGTCCTTCAACACCTTAGACAGCGGTTCTCAACCTGTGGGTCCCCAGCCGTTGTTGGACTACAACTCCCATTATCCCTGAAGTCTGGCCTTGCTGGCTAGGGGTGATGGGAGTTGTAGTTGAACAACATCTGGGCGCCCACAGGTTGAGAAAGGCTGCCTTAGAACCTGCTTTCCACCAGACTTTGATAATCATCAGTTTGCCCATAGAAGAAATAGGTCCACAAATGACGCAATAGCTACCGTCTTTCATCTTGCAGCAAGTCATCTAGCTGCTGTTAGGCTGTTAGGCTGACTGACTTTCGGGTCTGGTGTGTGTGTGTCAGTAAACGAAAGGAATTAAGACTAAGAGAGCTGAGTGGGGGGTGCTTGTGTAATCTCACTGTATACAAGTTGTACAAGTTACAATAAAGTATTTCAATTTCAATTATTCCCCCATTGCCAGGAAGTTGGATTAGATGACCCTTAGGGCTCCCTTCTTTCAACTCCACAATCCTATCATCAAAACAAACAAGAACAACAAATTCCTTCCAGTAGCACATTAGAGACCAACTCAGTTTGTTATTGGTATGAGCTTTTGTGTGCATGCACACTTCTTCAGATACACATGCATGCACACGAAAGCTCATACTTAGTTGGTCTCTAAGATGCTACTGGAAGGAATTTTTATTATTATTTTGTTTCGACTACGGCAGACCAACATGGATACCTACCTGTAACAATCCTATCATTTTAGACGTCTAGTGTCTAAATCAAGGGAAGCAATAGTCGCACTCTGTCCTGCCTTGGTCAGACCACACCTGGAATACTGTGTTCAGTTCTGGGTACATGGGCGTAGCCAAGGGACTGCAGGGAGTTAATTGCCCCCCCAAAAATTCCTTTGAAAATATTGAAAAGCATTTAAAATACTCAATACAGTGGTACCTCGGGTTAAGAACTTAATTCGTTCTGGAGGTCCGTTCTTAACCTGAAATTGTCCTTAACCTGAGGTACCTCTTTATTTTTATTTTATTTTTTTCTTCTTCTTTTAAATTTTATTTCCATGCTTATTACATGCAAAAAAAGGGAACAATACTGAAAAGGGGATACAACTTAAGAGAGGAGGGAAAAGGAAAGAAAATGAAATTTACACAATCTGTTATTAAGATAAAAATTATGACAAAAAATATGATTACAATTTCATGTAACAATAAAAGTAAAAAATCTCATTATCTTTTATATCCGTCTTCCCATTTATTCCTTAATTCTTTTTACATAAATTTACTGCCATATCAAAATACTATTTCCTGAGGTACCACTTTAGCTAATGGGGCCTCCCGCTGCCACCGCGCCACTGCCACGCGATTTCTGTTCTCATCCTGAAGCAAAGTTCTTAACCTGAGGTACTATTTTTGGGTTAGTGGAGTCTAACCTGAAGCGTCTGTAACCTGAAGCGTCTGTAACCCGAGGTACCCCTGTAAACTTTTGTGGGGGATCTACCCATGATCTCCCCAAAGTAGCTCATTAACTTTTTGGGGCTAAAAAATTCCCACTCCCCTAACAAAAATCCTGGCTACGCCCATGTCTGGGCGCTACAATTTGAGATGGATATTGAGAAGCTGGAACGTGTGCTGAGGAGGGCGACCAAGATGATCAAGGGTCTAGAAACCAAGCCTTATGAGGAATGGTTGAAGGAGCTGGGTATGTTGAGCCTGGAAAAGAGAAGACTGAGAGGGGATATGATAGCCATCTTCAGATATCTCAAGGGCTGTCACATGGAGAAGAGAGCAAGCTTGTTTTCTCCTGCTCTGGAGGGAGGACTCGAATCAATGGCGTTGAGTTACAAGAAAGGTGATTCCGACGAAACAGGAAGAACTTTCTGACAATAAGAGCTGTTCCACAATGGAATGGTTTCCCTTGGGATGTTGTCGATTCTCCTTCCTTGGAGGTTTATAAGCAGAGGTTGGATGGTCATCTGTCATGGATGCTTTAGCTGAGATTCCTACATTGCAGGGGGTTGATGACCCTCAGGGGTTCGTTCCATCTCTATGATTCTGTAATATAACAACAAAACTGCTTAGTCTCCAAAGTGCTGCCAGGCTCTCGTTAGAGATTTTTAGCTGTACAGAAAATGCACATCTTTGGATGCAAATGCAGACACAATTATCCTTTCCCCAGCATGTATGGAGAAGCAATCACCAATCTAACTCCATCGATGGAGATCTCATCCCCCTTCAAGTGCAACACTGTTCAAAGGACCCCCCCAGCCACCCGCTTCGCTGGGGATCAGACAGGCAATTAACATGAAGCGCAGAGTAGTCGAGTTATGTGTCTGCAAGAGTGAGTCATCTGTATTGGCATTCCCCCAGGCTTTTGGAGATGCACCTGTTTACACATGTGTCCCCTCGCCCTCTCAACTTGGGTCTTCTGTTTTAACTGCTGTGCTGCTTTAATTGGGTTATTTTACTGCATATTTTAATTATGTGTATCTCATTTTAAAACGTTTGTGCAGGTGGTTTTTACAGGTCTCAGCTGCTCCTAAATCCTATTTTGGCAGAAAGCAGAAGATTAATAACAACCAGCAGCCCCATCCTCTGCTACCCAAAACTGTTTGTAACATCTGCAGTATTATAATGCAAAATATCATGAGTAAGAACAGCAACAGCAGCTCTTAGAACATTTGCAGTAACAGGAACAATCACAGTGAGAGCTCTGGCAAGCTAACAAGCGCAACAGCTACATGAAAGCACAACAAGAACGACAGAACTGTTATTGTAGCTCCTCACGTGTTTTCAACTTGCTCATTTGGGACAGCTCTCTCATGTCCGTCATCCAATTTAAAAATTGCAGCTTTTGCTGCGCACATTCAGGCTTGAATGGCAAAGGCATTTATGTGTCTATTGTTGTGGTTCCAGCTAGTAGGTTGTGTGGGGTTGGAGCTTGTGTATAAGTGTGTGTGTGTGTGTGTGTGTGTGTGTGTGTGTGTATTGTGATGATTCACTATTGTAAAACACCTTAAGGAACTTGCAGTCCAGAGGTGAGGTATAAAACCTTCTAAAACAAATAAAGATTTCCTCAGTCTATAATGTAAAGCCCACATTTATTTTATAAGCATTTCAAAACTAGCCAAGTCATTAAAAATATACATATTATCGCCATAAGATCATTAAGACTTAGGCCAGGCATGTCCAAAGTCCGTCTCGGGGGCCTAATCTGGCCCGCCGGTTGGTTTAATGTGGTCCCTGTGGCAGTTTATTTCCTGGGGTAAAATCCTCAACAACTTCAACCCTAAAAAAAAGGTCAACAACTTTGTTTGGCCTTTTGGTCAGCCCTCACGGCTCTTCACTTCATCAAATCTGGCCCTCTTTGAAAAAAGTTTGGACACCACTGACTTAGGCACAGAAATGGGAAGGAACAAAAATATATCCCACACAAAGTGACATGGTATTAAAAGTTATATGCAACTGAAAGTTACTATGCTTGTGCAGAGAATTAGTGACCTCCATTGGCCCAAAATGGTATTAGCAACCACACAATCTATTTCTGGGCTTGTTTGTTTTTAAAGAAAATAACAGTATTCTTTTTATGAGCCGTGTTGCCTTCCTGGTGTTGTCTGACTCCTACTGCCATCATCCCCAGACATCACGTCTGATGACCTGGGATGATCTGGAGATATTTGGAGGGCCAAATTCCTCACCGCTGTCCTGCGTCAGGCGTGGAGAGTCCTCTCCCCCACCGTTAGCATGAAAGGCAAGAATAACACGCAGTTCGTATTTTATAGTCCTTTTTATTCAGTCATCTGGTTGCAAGACAGGAATCCATGTTTCCACACAAAGAGAGACATTGGCTACTCTGAGCCCCTCCTCTTCTGTTCCCAACAACATCCTGAGCACCAACGGGAATAATAATATTAACATTAAAAGCTTCCCTAAACAGGGCTGCCTTCAGATGTAGTCTAAAAGTCTGGTAGTTGTTGTTCTCTTTGACATCTGGTGGGAGGGCGTTCCACAGGGCGGGTGGCCCTCTAGCAAGAAGGCCCTCTGCCTGGTTCCCTGTAACTTGGCTTCTCACAGTAAGGGAACCGCCAGAAGGCCCTCGGCGCTGGACCTCAGTGTTCGGGCAGAATGATGTGGGTGGAGATGCTCCTTCAGATATACTGGACTGAGGCCGTTTAGGGCTTTAAAGGTCAGCACCAACATTTTGAATTGTGCTTGGAAACGTACTGGGAGCCAATGTAGGTCTTTCAAGACCGGTGTTATGTGGTCTCGGTGGCCGCTCCCAGTCACCAGTCTAGCTGCCGCATTCTGGATTAATTTCTGGGTCACCTTCAAATGTAGCCCCACATAGAGCACATTGCAGTAGTTCAAGCGAGAGATAACCAGAGCATGCACCACTTTGGCGAGACAGTCTGCGGGCTGGTAGGGTCTCAGCCTGCGTACCAGATGGAGCTGGTAAACAGCTGCCCTGGACACAGAATTGACCTGCACCTCCATGGACAGCTGTGAGTCCAAAATGACTCCCAGGCTGCGCACCTGGTCCTTCAGGGGCACAGTTACCCCATTCAGGACCAGGGTGTCCTCCACACCGGCCCGCCTCCTGTCTCCCAAAAACAGCACTTCTGTCTTGTCAGGATTCAACCTCAATCTGTTAGCCACCTGGAAGTCCCAGGAGTCCCACCCCTTTGCCTTCTCTGTTCTAGGATGTGGAGGGACCGA